TCACTCCAGCCTAAAAGAAGTTAACTAAAATTATGTCCAATAAAACATATATCTAGTAAAACATGGCCTAAAAATCAAACCAAAAAGTCTTAACAACTACATGTGTAGTAAAGTATTGATTCACCAATCTTCATTTGACATAAATTTCATACTCTTTCATGGCAACATCTTCATTACCTGTTCCTTCATCACAGCATAACCTCATCTGAATATTATCAGTAGTAGAGTGAGTAAAAGATCTAAAGAACCAAGGAATAAGAGTACGCTGACAACAAGTGGTTTCGATACTATAGCAATCTTTACCATCCCATAATGGATCAGAAGTAAACAATTTAGGTAATGCACCTGAATTGTGACAACCAGATTCACAATAATAATGAAAACCAATGAATGCTGGAACAGATTTAAGGTTGTTACTAGCACAAGGACATTTACTGATAGCAACGTCTGAATTTCCACTAATCAATGACCAGATATGTTTCCTTGGGTTACCATGTGTTAGACTAATACCATCAATGTATGCTGAGTAAATAACCTTGCTAGCACGATAGGCAGATGCTCCATCTGTACTACGATACTGATATCCAATCACTTTACCACATACTTGTGAATACTTTATATCTCTTGATGGAAATGTTATACCAACACAGCTACCACTATTAGTATCTGGTCTACCACAAGCACGGACTCCACCTGATGAATAAGTTCTAAACTGAGTAGGACATTTCTCATTAGGATCACTCATATTCAGATTAGCTATTCTTCTCCAGCCTCCTCCTTTACCACACAGAGTCTCCATGTGACAGTATACATGACGACTATGTCCATTAACATCAGCTAGATTATAATAACCTGAAGGACTGTTAGGCCACTTACTGAGGATAGCATCACATGAGGAGAGGAGAGAAGATAAAGGAGCCTCTTCTTCATCATCTAAACTCACATTAACATGTTTTGCTAACAATCGAGACAACTTGTTAAGATCAGATGAGAGGGCAGACACTTGTGATTGAAGTGAAGCTAATTGAGGCTCAATAGCATTCAGTCTGGCATCAGTTGTAGCAATGGACATGTTCAATATTAGTTCCATACGCTTGATGGTATTGTTGCTGTTTTCTTTGTAGGATCCTATAACTTCCTTTAGACCAACTTTAAGCTGATCACTGATATTAGTCAATGAATTCTCAATGAAAGACCAAGTAGTAGGATTAACACAAATATGGAGTGTATTACTGGCAGATAATGAATAAGAGGTAATACAAAGAACCAGTAGAATAGAATAATAAGAATACATCTTCAAGTGAGGCTAAGAGTGAAAGCATAATCATGAAGTAAAGCCTTTTATAATGCCAGTCAGTAATTCTAGGAAACAGATATAGATTCAACAACCCCATAAGATGCAAGTAAGTACAACTGATAATTCATATCTTTCCAAGAAGAGTATACTCTTGCTTCCAATAAACAAGTAAAGGTTCTATACAAACAATTTATCATATAATAGTCCTCTCTCATTGAGCAGGTCACTCTTCAAATGAACTGCATGAATACAGTTTAGCAAAGCTACTCATTTCCTTTCTCACATAGCATGCAATTAGTCTCACAAGCCACTAGAATGACTGTACAGGCTGCTGGCTTGCAAGACTAGCAGGCAGTATTGTAGCTAGATGTACAAATGTACATAAACATGTACTGCATTTAGTAGTGAAAAAAATTCAAAACAAAACATCTTTGCAAAGTCAAACCTTATACATGCAGTTGCTCACAACTATTATAGCAAATCATAATGAAATAAATGAACAAAGCATTATGTCCTACAAAAACGTTTCAATAGTAATAATTGGTAGACTATTCACTACTTAACATAAATTTCATATTTTCCAAAAGTAACATCTTCATCATTTGTCAATTGATCACAGCATAACCTCATCTCAATATTATCAGTAGTAGAATAACCAAAAGATCTATAGAACCAAGGAATAAGAGTACGCTGACAACAAGTGGTTTCACTACTACCCACAACCTTTACCATCCCATAATGGATCAGAAGAATATAATGTGTTAGTAGATGCTGCTGTATTATGACAACCAGATTCACAATAATAGTGAGAACCAACAAATGATGGAACTGGATAAGGTGTATGACTAGCACAAGGACAATCACTGGCAGCAGTACCTGTATGTCCACTAATCAATGACCAGATATGCTTCCTTGGGTTACCATGTGTTAGACTAATACCATCAATGTATGCTAAGTTTATATTCTTGCTAGTATAATGAGCAGCCGCTCCATTTGTTCTTCCAACCTGATATCCAATGACTTTACCACATACTTGTGAATACTTTATATCTCTTGATGGAAATGTTATACCAACACAGCTACCACTATTAGTCACTGGTCTACCACAAGCAAGAACTCCATTTTCTGAATAAGTTCTAAACTGAGTAGGACATTTCTCATTAGGATCAGTCATATTCAGACTAGCTATTCTTCTCCAGCCTCCTCCTTTACCACACAGAGTCTCCATGTGACAGTATACATGACGACTATGTCCATTAACATCAGCTAGATTATAATAACCTGAAGGACTGTTAGGCCACTTACTGAGGATAGCATCACATGAGGAAAGGAGAGGAGATGAAAGATCATCTAAACTCACATTAACATGTTTTGCTAACAATCGAGACAACTTGTTAAGATCAGATGAGAGAGAAGACACTTGTGATTGCAGTGAAGCTAATTGAGGCTCAATAGCATTCAGTCTGGCATCAGTTGCAGCAGTAGAAGCATCTATTTTGTTGGCAATAGATGCATTGATGTTTTTCAATAGCTTCCTTTCTTCTTTATCACATGACTCATCCTTATAATCTTTTGCCAGTTCCTTTACTAATGCTAATTGAAGGAGACCAGTTAGTTCTTCACTAGCAGCACCATCTGATGAACAGGATGATCCTTTAAGCTGATCACTGATATTAGTCAGTGAATTCTCAATGAAAGACAAAGTAGTAGGATTAACACAAGTACCATCAAGTGTACTACTGGCAGATAATGAATAAGAGCTCATACAAAGAACCAGTAGAATAGAATAATAAGAATACATCTTCAAGTTAGAGTCTAATGAATGAAAGCATCCTCATAAAGCAAGCCTTTTATAATGCCTACCAGTCTGTAATTGAAGGCAACAGCTATAGAAACAACCCCATAAGGTGCATGTAAGTACAACTGATAATTCATATCTTCCAATAAACAGGTCAAGCTATTATACAAACAAGACACCTCAAATTATCATATAATAGTCCTCTTTCATTGAGCAGGTCACTGATGTTGATAAAGAACACTGAATGCACTGAATGCAGTTTAGCAAAGCTACTCATTTCCTGCTTTCACA